AAAATCACTTTTCTTACATTTCCTCTCATATAAACATAACACAATGGTTTGTTCCTGAGAACTTTTTTAATTGATATAAGCTGTGTATGTTAATCTCTGTGGATTAAGTATGTCTTCTATATTTCTTTTACCGGATTTCTATTCAACTCTTGAGCCTCTCATTTTTACCATGAAAAACAGTAGGTAGTTGCATTAATTTAGGTAAGTCTTGCCAAACAGTTTAAGAAAAACGTGAATGTATACTTGTATTTCTCAGATACTTTTGCTTGATGAGCTACTTTTTTTTTTTCAGTTCATGGATATGAAGCCCTAGAGAACTGTTTCAGTGCTACATAAATGCACCTTTGCAAGGCAAAGTTACATCCCTAATCCTGCAGCCCACTTGCATGTGATTTGGGATGAATTTGTTTTCTACTGAGTTAACCGAACAGGTTTTGTTCAGTGTTCTCAGGGGAGAGAGGGTTCATCTTCAGTTTGGTCACAGTTGAGCAGTGGTAAGTACTGAGATAACTACTTAATGCAATTAAGTCACTCAAGTAATATCAACACTGCAAATATGTTCATGTTATCTTAATCTGTGATTATGCCCTCCAAACCCTCGTAGTATAATCATACACATCAGTACTTGGACAAAGCAACATTTGGTTGAGGCATGCAACCATGTGAACGAACAGGCAAATAAGTGTGCAGCAATAGTTCTCCCCTTTTCTCTGTTCCAGGGCTGGACTCTGAAGGTTGTCTTAGCCTTTTTCAGATGATTTATGATACTTGGTGCTTTTAGGAACATGTTCATCAACCCTATACCTCACCTTTTCACTATGGCTTCATGTGCTGAGAACTCTTGCAGGCAGGGTACTCTCTTGGGAGACAAATGTGACAAGCTGTACCAACTAGTGCTTTGCTGGCAGCCAAGTCCCTGGGCTAAAAATTTGTAGAGTGGCTAGACGGAAGTAGAGAAGGGCAGGCTGCAAGGCTGCCTGGAAACCCCGGATGCCGTGCTGTGAATGACCCAGTGGACCTAAAGAGACTGTGCTTAGTAGTCTACAGTGAAGACAGAGCACCCCATAACGGACAGAACATGAAGTGAGACCAAAACGTGGATTCAGAATAGCTCAGAAACTCCTGCCCCTTTTTAGGATTCCAGTGTGCTCGTTTCCTGCTGCTTGTAGAAAACGTGACAAATACAGCTCTGACCTGAAAGCGTTCTTGAAGCTGAGAGCCTTTCCCATTGAGTTCTTCCTGAAAGGCACTTAGTCCCTCAGCCTGGCCACAACCAAAATGCAAAAATTGCTTTGACTTTGGTTGCTGTTTTTTTTCTTTTATAAGTGAGTGGTATCTAGGATTTTTCAGTATTTATTTATTTTAATAAATAAGTTATATTTATTTATTTATTTGCACACCGGAGAAATTTTAACATGCTAAGGTTCCTCCCTGCAGGAAGAAAGTGGTTAATTGCGGAAGGGGAGTTCCCTACTGACTGCAGCAGTCCTGTTTCAGTAGTCATGCTGTGCAGGTCCAGGCTCCTAGAGAAGCCACTGGGAAGCTGTGATTTTTGAGAAATTTGTCTTCTTGTAGGGTAAGAAGCACAAAAAGTTATAATAGGAGGATTATGAGTCCTTTTGAATCTCCTTTTCCTGGAGATGGATGGTATTAAGCTTTCCGAAAACATATTCTACTGCAGAAATTCACATTGTAATTATATTGCACTATAATGATCTTATTTTACCTCCTTGCTGAAAAAATACTGATATGTACATTTTACCCTAGACCCGGGAGTGTTTTTTTTTTTTTTTAAGCAAATAAAAAACACACGGGCAGATATGGTTTTGAGTGTTAAGTGCTACCCACCACAAATTTATTTCAGTGAAGCAGAAAGGATGAGAAACAGACCTTCTTAATAATGCATCTTTTGATAATTAACTTGCATTTTGTCACCTGTACCCCCTTTTTTTATTAGCTACTTTTGATGATCCAGCAACTTCTTTTACAATCAATCAAAATCATGCATCAGTACATATTCTGTTATCAGTTTTCATAGTGCTTATTACTATGTACATATTGTGTGGAGCTGGAGGAATTTACTAGACCTGATTTCAATCTTTGTACCAATCTAAAACCGATGCAGTTTAGGGTAAGACGGGGCTAACGGTACTTTAGAGCTCAACAGCGGATTTCTAAAAATCCTTAAAATAACATGAATACCTTTGTATGAAATTTGCTTGTAAAATTTTAAGTCAAGCCTTAAGCTTTTAAGCTTTTTTCTTCTTCTACACTGGAATACTTTTTGTTGTAAAATCAGCATGAAAAAGGTCTTCGTTGTTGCAGAACCGTTACGCTTGTGGCTGCACAACATGATATGTAGCAATAACATCCTGCAGGGATGGGGGAAAGCAAAAGCAAATGTTTCTAAAACCTTTTTCTTTTTTTCATTGTTTAAACCACTGTCATTCCTCACTGGAGAGGGCACCTGCAGATGCTGCTAAGGCCTTGCTCTTGCAGTTTGGACTCCTGGGAGTTCAGTTGCATCGTATCTCGGTCGCGTCTTTCTGAATTTTCTTTTTTGCAAGTTTCAGCTTTGTGTTCTGTATTTGTCTGAGCAACTCCAGAGACTCACGAATGGATTGAAATCCTGGTATAAGAATAGGAAGAGTTAATTAAGTAGCGGTTGCTTTCAGTACGTAAGAGATCTATTTTGTGAAGGTTTCTGACCACCGTTTTGTTCCGAACACGTTAAAGGCAATCTGGTGATTTCGTTATTTTATTGAATGCCTTGGATATGCAATAGCAGTTTATATTGTAAGCTGCTTGCCATAGGAATCTTATCTTCCAGTCTCCTGGACGATACCAAGCATGATTACACATAGCTGCAAACTGCAACTGATATCAGATTTGTGTGGAGTAAAGCAAGTACCATGTTGCCTTAGAGCCAAGGTTACTGATTTTTTTTAAGTGTTTTTTTTTTTTCCTAGTAAGCATTGATTTTTAAGTCTGCAGTGCTTATTTAGAGTCAAAGTCATGCTCTGTTCCCACTGATGCGCTTGCTAGCGCTACGCTTGTAGCCACAGGTCCGTGCGGTGGGTGACATACCTGCGGGGCCCCGGGGCCGGTGGAAGTGGGGAGCGTTACCCCGCTCTCCTCTTGCCGCCTCAAAGTGCCCCTGGCCGACCACGTGCTCACGGGCAGCTTGCCGAGAGACACTCGGCATCTCCAATCAGGTACACTGGGGACTGAGCAACGGTGATAAAACCCCAAGCTGGCCAGTTTAAGGAAATCTAATATTAGCACTGTTGACCTGCAATCTGCCTGCTGGGTAGCAAGGTTTGTCCAAGGATCTCCAGGAGTGCTAGCAAGTGTGAGTGAGAACTACACTTCATCTGAGGTAGATGCTATTTTGCACTGCTTTTTTTAAACGCTATTAGGAGAACTGGTTTGGTACGCTGCTGGCAGAACGGGAGCTGGGCTAGCCCTGCTCGGCGTGCGTCTGCCTATGTTTGCAGGAATCTAACGAGCACGAGATGGGAGTTGACGGGCACGCTTTTTGCTAAAATAGAGCTACAGACCATCTGACGTTCCTTTGTTGAACCACAGTAAAGTCAAATATTGTCAATAAAGACTGGGAAAAATTGAATTGGGAGCAGCTGTTAACTAGCTGTTTGGAGACTGCAACAACTTTCAAATTACAAAGTAATCGTTTGACGTTCGCCCAGTTCGTCGCCTGGATGTTAGTTCATTAGCAAGGAATCAGCCTAACAGCAGATTACAGCTAACGCTCCTCCTCTTAAGCGTGGTGGGGGGAAGTGCCTACATGGCAACATGATGGTTGATGGCATGTTTTTCCTTTTGGTATGGCTGTTTAATAGGGATTAACTTTGCCACTGCTACGCTCTAGATAGTGTTCAACCACATCGCTATATAGTGTTCAAAATGTTATAGCTTCTGAGCAGGTCTGTGATTCCCGGCGTGCCAGTCTGCCTAAACGCAAGCGGCCGCTCAGCCGGGCTGTGGCTTCTCTCTTTGCCCTTCCTGCAGCTCTGCGCCCATTCAGCTGCCTCGCTTCCTCCTTTTTGGGCTCAGCCCCTGCTGAAGGGTTGCATGGGAAAGAGCAATCGGTGGATGTGAATTTGAAGGCAAGCGTAACCAAAGTTTGGTATAAACAGATCTCTTCGGTCATTAATTCCTGCAGGCAGGAATTTGCGGTTAAGGACTCTCTCCTCTTAGCACCAGAATCTTCTACGTTGAATATTTTTTTTTTTTTTTAGCTACGTCGTTCTTTGACATGCTGTCTTGTACTTATTCAGATGATCTTTGAGATAGCCGCGTTTTCCCTTGTCACGCTCTGCAAAGACCCCAGCTGATACAGAGCGTGGCTTGTTACAGCCCTGGAAGAGGGCTGGTAGGTGGGTTGCAGATAGCGAAGGAGCTGGAACTGAAGTGAGGAGCTGGGGTCCTAGATCACAGACAGCTTTGAAGATGAGAACCAGACTCTTGAGTTTCAAGTGAGAACAAGTAAAACGCGAAGCACTTGTTCAGTGATTTTTAGCCATCTGTTTCCTTTGAGAGATGGCTGACTGATTCTTGGATAAGCTGATGTGTCCGTTTTGTTTCTATTATCAGATGCAAGTAGAAGGTATTACAACAGATTAAGTTTGAGTGACAGAGGACGGATTAGAGAGGACAAATCTTCCTTGTGGAAGCAATGTGCTTTGTGCCAGGTGAAAGCCTCTCTAATTGTTGCTGAAAGTTGAGCGGCCGGAATGAGCCGAGAGCTGGTAAAGCAGCTCGTGCTCTCTGCGTTACATTCAAGACGCCTGTTCCCATAAGAAGCAGCTGCTGTACCGGTATTCAGCAACATTATCTGAATGCTTCCCTTTATCACTTGCATTATCTCTGGGCTATATAGGGTAGCTGTTACTCATCCGGATGCCTGTCTCTAGATACTGTTGGTTGAGAGCGGGGAGGAAATGATGAAAATGATATAAAACCAATGAGACAGGATCTCTGCAGCAGGACCTGTGGCAAAAGGCAAAGGCTTGCCCTTCCCGGTGTAGCCGAGTGACCTTGTTGATGGAAGAAATAGCTGCTCTTAAAAACTTGGAAAGCAGGTTCAGAAATTGCCTTTCAAATGATCTTACCGTGAGATATTTAGAAAGAGAAAGCAACCTGTGTGAGAAAGTCATGATGCCTTTTTGCACTGACAGGCAGGCTAACCAAGCCATTTAAAAATAACTCCCCTGTAACTGGGGTTTAGGAGAGAGAAAGTCATCTTAATATTTTTCTTACTTTCCAGGAAAGTATTTTCTGCAGCAGCAAGTTACTGTCCTGTATGAATTTATTTAAGAAATAAATGAAATGAAAGACCATCCTCACCTGATCTATATTCGTTCTGGATTTCCTCCAGCTCGTTCCAGATTTGTCTTTCAAATCTAGTGATTCTTGCATGCAGGGTTTTTTCATCATTCTTCATCTGGTTCAACTGCTTTTCATACTTCTGTGGTTTATCTGTTCTTTCTAGCTTTAGTGACAGAAGCAGAAGCTTGTCTTCTAGTCTTTTCTCTGCTGTTTCCTTTAAATAGATAACATAGCAACACATTTATAGTAGAACATTTTATACGGCCACCATTAAAATGTCTTCTGGCAAACATGAATTCAATGAGTCTTCCTTCCTAATTCCCATCAGTAACAGCACTGAATAAATGCAAGTGAGGACTGGTACCCTCAGAGGGTAGTCAGTCTTCCCTTTCCCAAATGACCAGATACCCTGCAAAACAGGGGATGGGCTAACATAAAGCATATTTCTTTTTTTTTTTTTCCCCCGTCTTTTTTTTTTTTTTTAAGTTGAATTCATATTAACCCTTTCAGGCTGCTGTCCTGTGCTTGTCTCAAACACAAGCTCCTAAGCCACCTAAGGGGGTGAAACATCAAGGAGCAAAGCCTGATTTGTCACCAGTGTGAATGGGGAGACTGAGCCTTGTAACAGCTGCGTAACTAAACGGAGGTGAGCAGTCCTCTCCCTCTTTCCAGCTCTGTGAAGCTCCTGAAGGCAGTCCCACCTCTTCTGAAGCCTGCTCATACGAGTGCTTTGCGGTTGCCTGCCCCTTTCTTGCTCTTCAAGTTGCATCGAGTCCTTTCAAATTGACAGTCAAATCTCTGCTCTTGCTCAGCAGAGCTGCTTGCGTGGCCCAAGACCCTCGCGGGCCCGGAGCAGCAGCGGGTTCTGTCTCTGAAGGAACCTGTGCACAAGTGGGGCAGTTGTTTGAACCGAAGTAGGGTTTAGGGTGGTGGTGAAAACGCACTTTGAGTTTACAAATTGTGCTTACTCACAGCGCAGGTGAGTCAGCTCCTGGAACAACCCAACAGCTGCCTATGCTCCCCAGGCACCTCCAGCTCCTGGCAGCTGAACTTCCAGGTCAACCAGTGTCCCTGTTCCTACACCTCCGGTGATGCGCAGAGTTACTCCCATCTTGATTTGGTAAGACGCTAATAAATCAGGTCACTTTCTGAAAGCGTAGCAGCTGGCTACGCAGATAGGGCCTGACTGAGCAGGGCCAGGTACCTCCTGGTGGACGCAGGAGGAGCTCCTCTCCAGCTACGTCTATCTCCAGCATTCGTGTCCTTCAACGACACCAATTTTCCCAGGCCCTGAGCTGCGTCTCCATCCAAATGACACTGTGCGTGACAGTGCACATATGTGTATACATATGCAGAAGTGTAAATACACTCTTTGTTATTTAATCTGTTTAAAGGTGGCTGTGAAAGCTTTAACTCCCAGTGACTCTATTGTTTGGCACAGCAGTCCCCCTTAGGAGAGAATAACCATGCACGTTGGTGTGTTTTCTGCGAATTAGCACAAAAATTATATTAGCAGAGGAAGTGAATTCTAACAGGGTCTTTGAGATAATAGCTGACAGGTCAGAAATGTTTTGAATGTCTTCCCTGTTGTGCACTAGCACTGGTTGTATTGAGTGCTGGAGATGATTAGACATCTTTAAAGTTCAAGGGCATTTTGTAATAATTTTGTTTTGAATCATTTCTGAATTTGACCTTTGATAAGCAGTCTTCAGCCTCGCGGTAAGACATGGCGATAATATTTTAAGAGTTTTTAACTCTGAAGATGAGTGAGCTACATGTAGCAAAGGAGAAGAAGCTTTTAATGCTGTGAAAGAATTAATTAAAATATATTGGTTTGGTGCCAAATGCTAACTGCTGCTATAGAATCTAAATTCTGCTGAATTTTAAAATATGAACTGCAGCATAATAATGAAATTCCTATATTTAAACATAGGCAGAGTTTACACAGAAGATCCCTTCTTCTCCTAAGCTTGTCAATGGCTGAAACTTAATGATGTTCACGGGGGACACTGATTTTCGGGGACAGGAAAGAGCCGTTACCTGGTAAGTCAGGGGTATGCACTTCCCTGGATGTGAAATGGTAACGTAATGCAGTAAGCTCTTGTTTCCCAGGTTGCCCAGAGTTGTGCAATCTTCATCTCTGGAGACACCTACAGATAACTGGACGCAGCCCTGGGCTGCGCCTTTGCTGCGGGCCCTGTCTGAGCGAGGAGGTGAACCGCCACTGCCAGAGGTCCCTTCCAAAACAAATCAGTCTGATAACGTAATTTCCATACCACATCATTTTGCTGGCTGCCTCCTGAGACTCTGGGGTAACCGTGTTACTGTCACAGACCTGGTTTTTGTGAGTGCAATTTAGCACCTTCAGGAATCTCTTGCCAGATCAGTGTTGTGGGGGAACTGCTTGCTCTCCCCAGTCCTAGGAGGGCTCGAAGTCCACCAGTGTTTGTGGTCAGCTCTAATAAAAGGTCTTACCAGTCTCTCCTTCATTGAGTGAAGCAGCTGATTCCTGTGGTAGGCTTGATCTTGCTCAGACCTTGTCAACTGCATCTCCGTCCACTTTCGCTGGTTCTGTATTTGATCTTTGAAGTCATTTAGAATATGTGTCAACCTAAAATAATAATTATTTTTTTTAGTAACAGGACTCAGGTTTAGTCAGGAGTATGGGGGAGTTTGAGTCACTTGAGTAGATTGTTTAAATTACTTCAAAATCGCTTCAGCAGTCTAATAAGCCCTACGCTCAATTATTTTTATTACTCCTTTCTTTGAAAGTTGTACCTGCATGCCAAGATGAGTCTTCTGTAGTGTGGTCTACTTTAGGAAAATATCTGAGGGCTGAAAGAAATGTTAACTTTCCCATTTAACTTAACTTTATCCAAAATGGATGAAGAAACTATAGCATCCCATCGAACATTAACTGTGTTGCAGGATACCCAGAAGAGCAGCAAAATCGCTGTTGGTCTGAAAATGAAATTGAGAAGGAGAGAAGCAGTTTGTAGGCACAAGTGTGTAAGTGAAAAGAGAACGCACCGCTGCCTTCAAAGCAGTGGTTGGATGGGAATCGCAAGCCGCGGGCAGCGAGCAGGGAAGGCCGCCGGGGAGCAGCGAAGCCCGGGAGCGAGCGCCTGGCTCCCGCCGCGGCAGCGAGCCCCAACTGAGAGAGGGGCCAGCAAGTGCTGCTTGCTACATCAGATCTGGAAATTGCCACGTCATGGAGGACTGCGTGTTTTGGATTTTGCTTTTCTTCTGCTGCAACATATAATTTACAGTGTGAGCCATGACAAGATGTGAATTTAGGTCCCTAGGCTTAGTCACAGATTTAAATTTTCACACTTATGCACATGACCTGACTGTAGGTGTTTTAGGGTAAGTTTTAATGTAATTGTACTAATTTCTAACACATGCTTACATGCCAACAACAACCATTTGAATTTTATTTAGCTTGAATTACAGATTAACTGTTTGGCCCTCGGTCAGGATACAAACCAACACGTAAAGACCAGGATTTTTTAATTAGACTTTATGCTCAGGTTACTTCTAATATTTAATATCGCTTTTCCAAAGGATGCTTAGTGAAAGTGGTTTTTCATTCAGCATGACTAATACAGCTTTGTATCAGTCTAATGACAATGATAATTATCAGCTGTAACTGTAAATATTGGAAACAAGAAATGAACGATAACACAATTTATCTAGGTTAAATGTTACTGCACTTTGCTTGCTATACCCAGCATCTTATCAAGATCTTATATACAGTCTTTTAGGTCAGCTTTTTATTCATTTTAGAAGTAGTTCTAAGTGGTTTTTTTAAAAAAACAAAACCTCGGGAAGTATCGAGTTCGTCTTTTGTAGTCCGCATGAACTTTCCTTGCGGTAAGCGCCTCCCTCTGCCTGGTAATTCACGGTTGTTGAACAGAGCGAACATAACCCCGTGGGTTTTCCTGCATCCCTGCTGAAGCACCAAAACCAAATGGGTTGGCAGGGAGCAGAGCTCTCCCTCCCTTCCTCTGCTCTCCGCTGCTTCTGGTGTTGCTCCTGTCGTTTCGCCGGGACCAGGGCTGCGTTTTGGGGAGGGGGGTATTTAGTTTGTTCCTGTGTCCTGACTGGGTAGTCACTCCGTACCCAAGAGTAAAATTGCATAATCAAAAAAAGTGAGAAAGACCTTGTGGCAAGCGCACGCCGAGTTTGCTTCCTGGAGCACTAATCGGGGCGCGGAAAGGGAGGAGAGTTTTCATGTTATGTTGATGATACAGAGCAATGTTCAACCTGAGCAATTTAGAGTGGGAAGGAGGTATGACGAGCTCTTCTCAAACATAACTGAGTGAGCCGCCTGGCTGGAGCAACGCAAGCGTGCACCGTGCTTGGCGAAGGCAGGGAAACGATGGAGATGTCGCTCTGTCAAAGCTATCGCTACTTGTCTTGAAGGCGGTCGACGGCTCGGGAGAGCAGCGCCTTAGCGCTGGCAGCTCGGTAAAGGCGCGGGTGAGGGCGAGGGTCGCGGTTCTGTTTGATCCGCTAGCAGGACCGGTGCCGCTCCACGCGCGTCTTTCCTGCGGTTAGTGGCCGAAGGCTCATCCGTGAGGCGTGAGACCAAGGTCTCCTGTTACTGTGTGGGTTAAGATTGTTCTTGGACAAATTGGAGGGATTTCGTTTCAAGGGATAAAGATGAATTAAGCGGGAAAGGACTGATCGTCACCTCTGTTCAAGGGTTGAAAATCGCATGTTGGGTGGTTGGTGATATATGCAATTGGTGTTTGACTTTGTTGGTCCAATTTCTTCAAAGTTTTAAAAAAAAAGAGGAAAGAAGGAAATATCTAAAGCTAAAAATGAGTTATTTGAGAATTGTTTTTGGGCCCACTTAGAAAACATTGCACAGTCATAAACAAAGACTGCCTTAGTTGAGAGCCCGCCCTGACTGGTGGGGAAATCAAAGAAAAAAATTAACACTTTATAAAAATTATTTAACAAATATTGAAGCTGACTGCAGCGGGTCACACTAGCAATACTGGATTTAACAGAGGCACTAGGGAGTGAGGTGACACGGCCGGTTATACAGATTAGGCTCGGTGCTCGTGGCGGGGTGCGAGCGCTGTGAGCCGCGGACCTGCCGAGGGAGGACGACGGGAGCTTGGGCCTGTCTCCAAGGCAGGACCTGCCCCGGCGGG